CCAGAAGCACCCTAAAACGATCCCATGGGAGCTCCTGGGTTTCTGCCAACCTTTTCCTCATTTAGTTTGTGGACGCTTAACGGAATACCTTCCGGAGTTTGGATGACCCCTACCACATTCTGGCTAGCGACCTCAGCCCCAGTCCCCAGCTTGAGCAATCGGCATTCTTAGTGACCACCTGTTAGCGACCCCAAGTGACTCCTGTTTGACCCCAGCTGCCCCCCTTGCCCCTAGAGCATGACTTCCGTGCTGGAGCCCATGCTGGACCTCACCTACCCCGCCACGTCCATGTTCACGGGGTCAGCCTTCAACCGCAGCATCCACCGCGTCTTCCAGGACAAGCAGATTGAGGTGCGCCCTCTCCCACCCCTGCTCTGTCCCTGCCCCTGTCCACGCGTGTCCCCACTCCTCCCCAACCTTGGTCCTCGTCCTCATAGGACCTGTGGCTGCCGTACTTCAACGTGACTACGGACATCACTGCCTCGGCCATGCGTGTTCACAAAGATGGTGGGTGCCCCTGGCTGGCCCCACAGCATCTGTGGCCACGTGGGGAGGGGGGCAGGCAGGGCAGCCAAGTGCCTGGGACACTGTTAACACGAGTGACCGTCCATCCTGACCTGATTGCCAGCACTAACCATCACCCACTAATGCCCCAGAGGTCCCAGGTAGGTCTGTCCTCAGGGTGGGGACCAGGAAATAGTCGGGCACCTCACCCGCTCACGCCATCCCTGCAGGCTGCGTGTGGCGCTACGTCCGGGCCAGTGCCTCCTACTGCCCCTACCTGCCCCCGCTCTGCGACCCCAAGGACGGGCACCTGCTGGTGGACGGGTGCTACGTCAACAACGTGCCAGGTCAGCGAGCCCACCGGGCTGGCCGGGCCTCTGAGCGTGTCTGAGAGTGTCTGTGCGTGTCTGTGTCTGTGTATCCCACTGGGCAGGCTCCCTATGGCGATACGTGCGTGCCAGCATGACGCTCTCGGGCTACCTGCCCCCGCTGTGCGACCCCAAGGACGGGCACCTCCTCATGGACGGCGGCTACATCAACAACCTGCCAGGCAAGTGGCTGCCCGCTCGCTCATGTGCACACACATGCACACAGGCAAAGAGTGAGCGAGTGGGCCCATGCACAGGCACACATGCAGACAGGTGCCCAGGAGGACGTGTGTGCAAGCAGACCGGTGCAGGGCTCTGGACACACACACACACACACACACACACACACAGATGCACTAGCAGATATGTGGATGAGCCGAGGACAGGAATGTGCAGGTGGAAAGTGTACCCATATGTAAGATGCAGATGAATGCACACAGACATGTACACACAGCACCGGACATGGGATAGAACGGGACATCTTGACAGGCATCTGCTGACGTGCACATTGACATAGATGCTCAGATGGCAGGTAGGGTACTTGTGTGCGCAAGGTTAGATGCATGTGCACGGATGAAAACACATGCATTGATGAAATTGGGTACATGTGCTCTCACACCAGTCTGCCCACACCCACCCTCATGCTTCCTAAGACGTGCATAAGCGTACACACTGAGGTGGGGGGGCACCTACGAGACCAAGTCAAGTATCTTTTCACACCCTCTGACTTGTGTGCAGATAAGAGGCAGGCAGGTTTGCAATTTAAAATTTTACACGCCCGGACACGTGCATGCACAAGTAGGCACCCTCACTGGCTGCGCACACACTTGCAACCCTGTACGCCAGGGCTGGGCAGACTCTGGCCTGAGGTCACAGCGGCCCCTTCCTGGTTGTGTCAGTCACACCCAGTCATTTACTCATGGTTGGGGCTGCTTTTTGGCCACAACAGCACAGTTGAGTAGTTGTGGCACAGACCATGTGGCCTGCAAAGCTGAAATTATTTTCTTGCTGGCCATTTCCAGAAAAAATTTGCCAACTCTTGTATATGTGCTCTGTACACATACCTGTACTAACATGACCACACACCTTCACGTGTGTGTAAGCCCCTAGGTGGATAGGCATACTCGGACGCACAGGAAACACAGACGTTGATCTAGCTGCATGATGACTTAAATGAATACAGACGTGCCCAGGGATGTGGACAGAGATGTAGCATGCCCAGAGGTGTGTGTGCTCACAGAGACACGTGGACGGGAGACGCACACAGACAGCAGGGACTCCTGCCGTGGGCATGCGCACAGACTTACACACCAGCTCCTGAGGGACACATGGAAAGTCTGACAGAGACTCTGTTTTTCTGGGCTGAGTGTGGTTATAGGACCCTGTCCCTGTCCCCCCAGGTTTCCCCAGACCCACTCAGGGCCCCTCAGTGGGCCGCATGGACCCACGGACACACCACCCTCCCTGCCGGGCCCCTCCCCATCACCTCCTCTGTTCTGCTTTCCTGTTCTTGGCTCTCTGTCCCTTGTCACAGCCCCAGACTCTCTCTTCTTCCATTTCTGTAACTCTTGATCTCTTTCTCCTCCCCAAACCTCTTGCTAATTCTGCTTCCCTGCATTTCTCTCTGTGGCCCGTCCCCTGCGTCTTCACTACTTGCATCTCCGTCTCCACGTGTCCTTATGGCTCTGTCTCTACGTCACTCTCCTTCCACTTCTCTGTCCTGCCTTTTCCCCAGCACTTTTATCCCTCTGTCTCCAACCCCTACATCCCTCTGGCGTGGTTCCTCACCTCTAAAAGCTCCGCCATCTGACCCTGTCTTCTCATCATGGGCATCACTTTCCATGCCATTTGCATGCCAACATGCTGTTTGCATGGGTTTTGCGTGACATTGCATGATGGTGTCTGTGGGACTGGGTTGAACTTTTCTGCCCTGGGCCCTGGTGGGGAGCCACCCGCTGACCCCCTGGCCCCACAGCGGACATCGCCCGCAGCATGGGTGCCAAGACAGTCATTGCCATTGACGTCGGGAGCCAGGACGAGACAGACCTCAGCACCTACGGGGACAGCCTGTCTGGCTGGTGGCTGCTGTGGAAGCGGCTAAACCCTTGGACGAATAAGATCAAGGTTCCAGACATGGCTGAGATTCAGTCCCGCCTGGCCTACGTGTCCTGCGTACGCCAGCTGGAGGTTGTCAAGTCCAGCTCCTACTGCGAGTACCTGCGCCCCCCCATCGACTGCTTCAAGACCATGGACTTCGGGAAGTTCGACCAGATCTATGTGAGTGGGTGGGAGTGGCCTGGTATCAGTGCGGGGCCAGCAGGGCTTACTATTGAACGCCCAGAGCAACACAAGGGGAACGGCTCTAGGACTCCCTTCCCAACTGGGAACTGTGGGGAATAGAACAGTAATCGATTAGTGATGTCCGTATTGATGTGGCAGTGGAACACGCTGCCCACATGCTGTGTATGAACTAAGCTGCTTATGTGCCAGCTGCACTACCTGAAGCACTGTGTAGATTCCTGCATTGGTGGGCATGGGGACAGTGATCAACTAGTAATGCCTGCCATAGGTAAGCGAGGGAAGGAGCAGTGTGTGTCATGTGCCACTGGCCCTGAAGAATGTGCCATAGCCCATGCCACCTAAAACGGATCATTAGCTGCTGCCCAGAGACCCGGGTACAACATGTCTGATGCTCTTTCAGGGCTGATGGGGACAGTGTGCCCTGGTGGGTTAGTGGTGTCTGTTCTGGGTATGGGAGCTGGCGATACCCACAAATAGACTGCACATTTGGAGAACTTGAAATAAGGTTTCCACCACCATCTCAAGTCATTTGGTACTTGGCCCACTGCATGGGGATTAGTGGGTAAGAACATGAAGTGATGGATTGGTAATGTCTGGCAGGGGCACAGGATGGAGGACATGGGCCAAGAGTGCTACATACGGCTGACTCCAAAATAGGGTTAGCCTCGATGCTAGTTTCCCGAAGCAGCAGCTTTTGAGGGGCCAGGCCAGGGGCAGGCAACGTGGGGCTAAGCAAGCGGACCAGCAGGGAGCATCTGGGGAGTTGCAGTGTGGATGGCCCCAGTCCCCTTCCTCCTGCAGGATGTGGGCTACCAGCACGGGAAGGCTGTGTTTGGGGGCTGGAGCCGGGGCGACGTCATTGAGAAGATGCTCACAGACCGGCGGTCTGCTGACCTGATTGAGAGCCGCCGTGCCGACGTAAGCCGGGACCCCCAGCCCCCTGGGTCTCCCAGACCTCAGGTGACCCCAGACTCCCTGGGTTTCTCTGAGCATCTCCGACCAGAGAACTCTCCTCAGGACATGTCCCCCAGGCACAGCACCCCAGCACCCCAGAACACCACGAGCCTCTGAGACCTCACCCTGTCCCCACAGGTGCTGGCCTTCCCCAGCTCTGGCTTCACTGACTTGGCAGAGATCGTGTCCCGGATCGAGCCCCCCACCAGCTATGTTTCTGATGGCTGTGCTGATGGTGAGGCGCTTCCAGAGGCGGGCTAGGCCCGGGGTCAGTGGGATGTGGCTAGAAATGCCAGCCCCGCCATGTCCCCTCACTGTCACGCTGCTCCCCGAATTCCAGGGGAAGAGTCAGATTGCCTGACGGAGTACGAGGAGGACGCAGGACCTGACTGCTCACGGGACGAAGGGGGCTCCCCCGAGGGTGCCAGCCCCAGCACCGCCTCTGAGATGGTGAGAGGAGCCGCCCGGCCCCCGGGCGGTTGTGCGGAGTGACCTGCCCCGGGACCTGCTCTGTGTGACGTGTGGGGGCTCCTTTCCGCAGGAGGAGGACAAGACAGGGCTCAGGCACCGGCGCTGCCTGCCGCAGGACGCTGCCAGCTCGCCCGCAGACACCTGAGGACCGCAGGGGCCCCCGGAGCGGGCTGCTCCCCCACCGCCTGCTGCTGTGCCTGTGGCCGCCTGGTCTCCCGGGACCTCCAGGCCCACACACTGGATTGCTGGCCCTCCACGAGGAGGGCGGCACTGCACTGAGGACCTTGAACCGTCATTCCCAATAAACCTCTATTCTCGGAGGAGGGCCCATGTCATTCTTTGGGTTCAGGGGATGTCGTGCCCCACCTTCCATGCTGAGGACAGCTGGGGCTGAAGCTTGCACAGTGACCCATGCACCCAGCCTCTGGCTGAGCTCCATGAGCTGTGAGTGCCATCCCAGAATCCACCTGTAGCCCCACTACTGAGCACAGGGCCTCCAAATGCTACATGCCCGCCCTGGGGGTCCCAGATGTCCCTGGGTGCCTGTCCTGACGCCACTCATTCTCCCGCCCCTGGGCTGGTCATACTGTGTGCAGGCACTTCAAGTTTTCTGTGTGTTCCTGTCATGTGCACTGCTGAGTCTGGTTCCTGAGACACGCCATGTGCATGCACATGTGCATATACAGGTACACTCAGGCACAGGGTGCAGTGACCTTATTCTGTTTCCCAGGCATTGTTCCTACTGTGTGCTCAGCTGAGGTCACACAGAATGAGCCAGTCCCTCCTGTGCACTCTTGCCCACTGTCCTGGCATGTTGGTCAAGAGCTTAAGAGTGTGGAGCCAAACTGCCTTCTGTGAAACCACAGTCCGGCCTTTTAACAAAACTCTGGGCTTCAGCTGCTTCACCTGTGAGGTGGGGGTGCTGATAGCATCTGCCTCATCAGGTGTTTCTATTGCTGGACTCTCCTGCCAGCGGGGTTGGATTAGGGGCACAAGGCTGGAGGCCAGAGACCAGGGAGAGATGACGAGGCCTAAATTAGGCAGCGGACGTGGAGACGGTGAGGAGAGACAATGCCCAAGAAATATTTACAATAAAATTGGGCAGAACAGAGAGATTAGTGGGCAGTGGGGGAGGCGGGGTTGGGGATGCCAAGGAGGATGAGGGGAGGTTGGCATAGGTGGTGGGGGCACATCTTACTGAGGCAGAAGGAGGGGGAAGGAGAGGGGCGGGAAAGTTGGACTCCATTTAGAACTTGTTGAGTTTCAGTAGCTGAAGGGACCATCAGGGGAGCGGCCGGGGCTCTGGACCTTTGGGGGTGGGCACTTAGGAGAGAGCTGTGCCAGGAACACGTCTGAGTGTCAGGACAATGGTGGAGACTGGTGCTGTGGGGAGAGAGAAGTCCGGGGAGAACGCGGCGGTAAGAACAGCCCTGGGGCTGAGTGTAGGCCCCACTGTGTGTGGCTGTGTACATGCTCCTCTAAGCTTCCCTCCTGGCCTGGAAGAGCCTGGCAATTTCAGCCTGCTGGGTGAGGTGGGCTTCCTTCCTAATTCTGGTGACTGTGCGTTTGGGGGCACTGCTCTTCCAGGGGGGCTTGGGTTGAGCTCGAGAGGGGCTGGAGCGTCCCAGAGTCCTAGCTTCCAGGCAAAGCACCACAGCTGGGGGTCTCAGGGCTCTGTAGGCTGCGGGTCTGCAATCAAGGTGTCTGCAGGGTTGGTTCCACTTGGACTTTGTCCCTGTGCCCCCACATGGTCTTCCCTCTGTGTGTCTGTGTCGTAATCTCTTCTAAGGACACCCATTATATTGGGTCAGGGCCGCCATAACAGGCTCATTTTTTTTTACTTAATTACCTTTTAAGCACTCTGTCTCCAAAACACTCACATTCCGAAGCTCTGAGGACTAGGACTTCAACACGAATTGGGGTGGGAGGGACACAGTTCGCCATAAACCAGGGAGAGGATGTGTAGCCTGGGAGGCAGCGCGGGCCACTGGCCTGGATCAAACCACCTGGTTTGAATTCCTGTTTCTTCCAATTCCCTCTCGGGCCTGCTGTGCACCTCCCACCCTGTGCCCGGCATAGTGCCTAGCACATCCTGCGTGTTCGCTGGAAATGCCTTTTCTTTTTTCCCCCTGATCCAAGAAGTGAAGATATTTTCTCCATTGATTTTTAGAGAGAGTGGAAGGAAGGGGTGTAGGAGAGGAGAGAGTGAGGGAGAGGAGAGAGAAACATTGATGTGAGAAAGAACCCTTCACAGAAGAGCTCCTGACTCTAGTAGGTGCTCAATCAATGTTTGTTGAATGAGATCAAGCCCTGAAGATGAGGAAAAGATGCCTGAGGTGTCTCCCACGCTCTCTGAACCACAATGAAACCACAGTAATTTCCCCTCTTAATATGTTTTTTAAAATTGATTTCAGAGAGAGGAAGGGAGAGGGAGAGAGGGATAGAAACAATGATGAGAAGATCATTGATTGGCTGCCTCCTGCATGCCCCCTACTGAGGATCAAGCCCAAAACCTGAGCACATGCACTGACCGGGAATCAAACCATGACCCCCTGGTTCATGGGTCAACACTCAACCCCTGAGCCACACTGGCCGGGCAATTTCCCCTTTCTTGTAAGCACATATGAACACCAGCAGCAGCAATAGCAGTGGTAACTGATTATGGCAGGATTGCCATATAGCAGGTGTATTCTCTTTGATTTCTCATAGTAGCTCTAAGGAGAACACGTTATGATCCTCTAAAACAGAGGTTCTCAACCTGTGGGTCGCGACCCCTTTGGTGGTCTAGGGGTCGCCTAGACCATCCTGTATATCAGATATTTACATTACGATTCATAACAGTAGCAACATGACAGTTATGAAGTAGCAGCGAATATAACTTTATGGTTGGGGCACAACATGAGGAGCTGTATTTAAAGGGCCAGAAGGTTGAGAACCGCTGATATAAAGGAAGAAACAGAGGCTCAGAGCGGTGTCTAAGCTGCACAGCTGTTGGGAGATGAGTCAGGGTTCATGTCCGGAAGCTTTCTCACCATCCTGTGCTGTTTCCCCAGGGGTGGGTTTGTTGAGGTTTCCACTGCAGTCTGCAGTCCTGGGAGCAGCACTGATCCCCAGGAAAGAAGTCCTCCATGGACCTAGAAGGAGCCCCCTAGAACCTCCTGCTAAGATGTCCCAAGTCTCACCAACTTAGACTGGTATCAGCCTTCACTCATCCTGGGCAGGATGGGACCCCTGGCACCTTGGAGTTGGAGTGGAGTCTGTTATAACCTGGATTGTGCCCCTCAATTCATATGTCGAAGTCTTAAGCCCCAGCACTCAGAATGTGACTCTACAGGCAGAGAGGATCTTTAAAGAGATAACTAGGTCTTTGGGGGTGTCCTAATCCACCATGACTGGTATCCTGATACATAGAGGAAGTTTGGACACACACACACACACACACACACTCACACACAGGGAAGACAGGGAGAACGTCATGTATTTACCAAAAAACGCCAAGACCACCAGCAGCTAAGAGAGAGGCGTGGGACAGTCTCCCTCACAGCCTCATAAGGAACCAACTCTATTAACTCCTTGATCTTGAACTTCAGCCTCCAGAACTGGGAGAAAATACATTTCTATTGCAGCCCCCCAGTCTGTGGTCCTTTATTATGACAGCCCCAGCAAACTAATAGACCTTGGCGGGAGCCAGGTTAGGTGGATGGGTTGGTGTATCAGTCAGGATAAGTTACAGTAACAAATGACCCCAAAATCTTGAGGGCCTAAAACGATGCAAAATTGATTTCTTGCTCTCAGGATATACCTGTGACAGGTCACTTGGGAGTTTTTCCCCACGTTCCCCACTCCACCAGAGTGACACAGCAGCCACTGCCTGGAACGGATCTGGCCTCTGTAGCAGGGGAAAGAAATCTCTGGGGCCCCAGCAATTAAATGCCCTGGCCTGGAAATTATACTGCATTTCTGCTCACGGCTCATTGGCCAGAAGAAGTCACATGGCCTACCCAGCCAGGGGGGCCTACCCTACCAGTGTATTCCGGGAGATCGATGCAAGGATTCGTTAACATCATTCATGACTAACTGAGTTAGCTGGCTTTCCACTGGAGCTTCCAGGCGACTTCTCTCTGGTTCCAGAACTTGAGGTTCAGCTAATGCCAAGAAATCTTGGGGTTCCAGTGAGGGCCTGTGTTCTAGGTCAGAGGACCTCCCCTGCATGCAGCTCGCAGGAGTTGGAGGACGCTGATGGGGTCAGGCTCACAAGAGGGGTTGCGTGGTGTGTTTCTGGCCTGGTCTCTGGAAATGGCCATGTAGAGGTCAGACAGGGAGCTGACAGCCAGATCAGACCCCAGGATCTGGGAGGCTAAGTTAAAAGGCCTCTCATACGTAGTGTTACCATAGGACCCCTCAAACCCCTCCTAGGTCTCTACCCAAGAGAAGGGAGAAGACCTGTCCATCAAAATCTTGTACTTGAAAGTTCATAGCAGCATTATTCATAGTAGCCCATCAGATGATAAATGGATATCAAATGCCTGTCAAAAGATGAATGGATAAATTTCTACCCACACAAGGAATATTACTTAGCCATAGAAAGGAATGGAGTCCTGATACAGGCCACAAAGTGCATGAAACCTGAAAACATTATGCTGAGGGAAAGAAGTCAGATACAGAGGCCACATGTTGCCTGACCCCGTCGGTATGAGTGATTTATTGTACGAAGTGTCTAGACAGGCAGTAGATGAGCAGCTGCCAGGGGATGAGGAGGGGGGTGTGGAGTGACTGCTAACGTGTGTAGGGTTTCTTTTGGGGGTGATGGAAGTGGTTTTTTTTTTAAAGTTTTAAAATATATTTTTATTGATTTCAGAAAGGAAAGGAGAGGGAGAGAGAAATAGGAACATCGGTGATGAGACTCATCAATCGGCTGCCTCCTGCATGCCCCACACTAGGGATTGAGCCTGAAACCCAGGCATGTGTCCTGACCGGGAATCCAACCATGACCTCCTAGTTCATCGGTCAATGTTCAACCACTGAGCCACACTGGCCGGGCGAAATGTTCTTCTTTTCAGCTTTATTGTTGTATAATTGACAAACAAAACTGTATAATATATAAAGTGCACAATGTGATACGTGTGCATTGTGGGAGGATTCCCCATGGAGTTAACACCTCTATCACCTCACCTATTTACCTTATTTGTGGTGAGTGCATTTAAGTTACGCTCTCTTAGTAAATTTCAATCACAGTACACAGCATTATCAACTCCAGTCACAACGTTTCACATCAGGTCCTCAGACCTTTGTCATTGCATAGCTGGAATTCTGTGCCCTT